AAAGATGGGAAGAAACCAGTGCAAAAAGGAGGAAAACACCCAAAACCAGAACACCTCTCCTCCTACAAGGGATCACATCCTCACTAGCAAGGGAACAAAGCTGGATGGAGAATGAGTGTGATGAAATGACAGAATCAGACTTTAGAAGGTGGGTAATGAGAAACTTCGGTGAGCTAAAAGAACATGTTCTAACTCAATGCAAAGAAACTAAGAACCTCAAAAAAAGATTTGATGAAATGATAACAAGAATGTACAACTTAGGAATATGAGTGAATTGATGGAGCTGAAAAACACAATACAAGAACTTTGCTAAGCATGCACAAGTTTCAACAGCCGAATTGACCAAGCAGAATAAAGGATATCAGAGGTTAAAGACCAACTCAATGAAATAAAATGAGAATGCAAGATTAGAGAAAAAAGTGCAAAAAGGAATGAACAAACTCTCCAAGAAATGTGAGACTATGTGAACAGACCTAATCTACATTTGACAGGTGTACCTGAATGTGACGAAGAGAGTGAATCAAAGCTGGAAAATACTCTTCAGGATATTATCCAGGAAAACTTCCCCATCATAGCAAGGCAGGTCAATATTCAAGTCCAGGAAATACAGAGAACACCACAAAGATATTCCTCAAGAAGAGCAACCCCAAGGCACATAATTGTCAGATTCACCAGGGTTGAAATGAAGGAGAAAATGCTAAGGGCAGCCAGAGAGAAAGGTCGGGTCACCCACAAAGGGAAGCCCATCAGACTCACAGCAGATCTCTCGGCAGAAACCCTACATGCCAGAAGAGAGGGAGGCTGATATTCAACATCCTTAAAGAAAAGAACTTTCAACCCAGAATTTCATATCCAGCCAAACTGAGCTTCAGAAGTGAAGGAAAAATAAAATCCTTTGCGAACAAGCAAGTACTCAGAGATTTTGTCACCACCAGGCCTGCTTTACAAAAGCTCCTGAAAGAGGCGCTACACATAGAAAGGAACAACCAGTACCAGCCATTCCAAAAACATACCAAATGGTAAAGAGCATCAACAAAAGGAAGAATCTGCATCAACTAATGGGCAAAACAGCCAGCTAGCATCAAAATGGCAGTATCAAATTCACACATAACAATATTAACCCTAAATGTAAATGGGCTAAATGAACCAATCAAAAGACACAGACTGGCAAATTCGATAAAAAACCAAAAGCCATCGGTGTGCTGTATCCAGAAAACCCTCTCACATGTAAGGATACACAAAGGCTCAAAATAAAGGGATGGAGGAAGATGTACCAAGCAAATGGACAGCAAAATAAAGCAGGAGTTGCAATTCTCGTCTCTGATGAAATAGACTTTAAAGCAACAAAGATCAAAAAAGACAAAGAACGACATTATATAATGGTAAAAGGATTGATACAAGAAGAGCTAACAATTCTAAATATATACGGACCCAATACAGGAGCACCCAGATACATAAGGCAAGTTCTTAATGACTTACAAAGAGACTTAGGCTCCCACACAATAATAGTGGGAGACTTTAACACTCCACTGTCAATATTAGACAGATCAACCAGACAGAAAATCAACAAGGATATCCAGGGCTTGAACTCAGACCTGGAGCAAGCAAACCTGATAGACATTTACAGAACTCTCCACCCCAAATCCACAGAATATACATTCTTCTCAGCACCACATCACACCTACTCTAAAATTGACCACATAATTGGAAGTAAATCACTCCTCAGAAAATGCAAAAGAACGGAAATCATAACAAACAGTCTCTCAGACCACAGTGCAATCAAGTTAGAACTCAGAATTGAGAAACTAACTCAGAACCGCACAGCTTCATGGAAACTGAACAACTGGCTCTTTAATGTTGACTGGATAAATAATAAAATGAAGGTAGAAATAAAGAAGTTCTTTGAAACCAATGAGAATGAAGACACAACATACCAAAATCTCTGGGACACATTTAAAGCAGTATCTAGAAGAAAATATATAGCCATAATTGCCCACATGAGAAGAGTGGAGAGATCAAAAATTGACGTCCTTCATCAAAATTGAAAGAGGTAGAGGAGCAAGATAAAAAATACTCAAAACCTAGCAGAAGACAAGAAATAGCTAAGATCAGAGCAGAACTGAAGGAGATAGAGACACAAAAACCCTTTAAAAAATCAATAAATCCAGGAGCTGGTTTTTCGAAAAGATCAACAAAATAGACAGACCACTAGCCAGATTAATAAAAAAGAAAAGAGAGAATAACCAAATAGAGGCAATAAAAATAATAAAGGGGAAATCACCATAGATTTCACAGAAATTCAAACCATCATCAGAAATTATTACAAATAACTCTATGCGCATAAACTAGTAAACCTGGAAGAAATGGATAAATTCCTGGACACTTGCATCCTCCCAAGCCTCAACCACGAAGAAGTCGAAACCCTGAATAGACCAATAACAAGATCTGAAGTTGAGGCAGCAATTAAGAGCCTACCACACAAAAAAAGCCCAGGTCCAGATGGGTTCACAACCAAATTCTACCAGACACACAAAGAGGAACTGTTACCATTCCTTCTGAAACTATTCCAAATAATCTAAAAAGAGGGAATCCTTCCCAAATCATTTTATGAGACCAACATCATCCTGATGCCAAAACCCGGCAGAGACTCAACAAGAAAAGAAAACTTCAGGCCAATATCCATGATGAACATAGATGCAAAAATCTTCAATAAAATATTGGCAAGCTGATTGCAACAGCACATCAAAAAGCTTATCCACCATGATCAAGTAGGATTTATCCCGGGGATGCAAGGCTGGTTCAAGATATGCAATTCTATAAATGTAATTCACCACATCAACAGAACCAAAAACAAAAACCACATGATTATCTCAATTGATGCAGAGAAGGCATTTGACAAAATTCAACAGCCCTTTATGCTAAAAACTCTCAATAAACTTGGTATTGATGGAATGTATCTCAAAACAATAAAAGCTGTTTACAACAAACCAACAGCCCATATCATACTGAATGGGCAAAAACTGGAAGCATTCCCTCTGAAATCCGGCACTAGACAAGGATGCCCTCTCTCACCACTCCTATTCAATATAGTACTGGAAGTTCTAGCGAGAGCAATCAGGCAAGAAAAAGAAATAAAGGGTATTCAAGTAGGAAAGGAGGAAGCCCAATTGTCTCTATTTGCAGACGACATAACAGTATATCTAGAAGACCCCATCGTCTCAGCCCACAACCTCCTGAAACTGATTAGCAACTTCGACAAAGTCTCAGGATACAAAATGAATGTGCAAAAATCACAAGCATTCCTATGCACCAATAACAGACTTAAAGAGAGCCAAATCAAGAATCAACTGCCATTCACAATTGCTACAAAGAGAATAAAATACCTAGGAATACAACTAACAAGGAACGTGAAGGACCTCTTCAAGGAGAACTACAAACCACTGCTCAATGAAATAAGAGAGGACAAAAACAGATGGAGAAACATTCCATGTTCATGGTTAGGAAGAATCAATATCATGAAAATGGCCATACTGCCCAAAGTAATTTACAGATTTAATGCTATCCCCATCAAGCTACCAATGAGCTTCTTCACAGAACTGGAAAGAAACACCTTAAACTTCATATGGAACCAAAAGAGAGCCCGCATAGCCAAGTCAATTCTAAGCAAAAAGAACACAGCAGGAGGCATCACACTACCGGAATTCAAACTATACTACAAGGGTACAGTAATTAAAATAGCATGGTACTGGTACCAAAACAGAGATATAGACCAATGGAACAGAACAGAGGCCTCGGAGGCAACACAACACATCTACAACCATACAATCTTTGATAAACCTGACAAAAACAAGCAATGGGGAAAGGATTCCCTGTTTAATAAATGCTGTTGGGAAAACTGGCTAGCTATGTGCAGAAAGCAGAAACTGGACCCCTTCCTGACACCTTACACTAAAATTTACTCCAGATGGATTAAAGACTTAAACATAAGACCTGGCACCATAAAAATCCTAGAAGAAAATCTAGGCAAAACCATTCAGGACATAGGAATAGGCAAGGACTTCATGAACAAAACACCAAAAGCATTGGCAGCAAAAGCCAAAATAGACAAATGGGACCTAATCAAACTCTACAACTTCTGCACGGCAAAAGAAGCAGTCATGAGAGTGAATCAGCAACCAACAGAATGGGAAAAAACTTTTGCAGTTTACCCATCTGACAAAGGGCTGATATCCAGAATTTACAAAGAACTCAAACAGATTTAAAGAAAAAAAACCAAAGAAGCCCATTCAAAAGTGGGCAAAGGATATAAATAGACACTTGACAAAAGAAGACATATATGAGGCCAACAATCATATGAAAAAATGCTCATCATCACTGGTCATCAGAGAGATGCAAATCAAAACTACACTGAGATACCATCACACACCAGTTAGAATGGCGATCATTAAAAAATCTGGAGACAACAGATGCTGGAGTGGATGTGGAGAAATAGGAACACTTCTACACTGCTTGTGGGAGTGTAAATTAGTTCAACCATTGTGGAAGACTGTGGCGATTCCTTAAGGACCTAGAAATAGAAATTCCATTTGACTCAGCAATCCCATTACTGGGTATATATCCAAAGGACTATAAATCATTCTACTATAAGGACACATGCACACGAATGTTCATTGCAGCACTATTTACAATAGCAAAGACCTGGAATCAACCCAAATGCCTATCGATGATAGACTGGACAGGGAAAATGTGGCACATATACACCATGGAATATTATGCAGCAATCAAAAACGATGAGTTCATGTCCTTTGTAGGGACATGGATGAACCTGGAGAACATCATTCTCAGCAAACTGACAGAAGAACAGAAAATGAAATACCGCATGTTCTCACTCATAGGTGGGTGTTGAACAATGACAACACATGGACACAGGAAGGGGAGCACTGTACACTGGGGTCTGTTGGGGGGAATAGGAGAGGGATAGTGGGGGGTGGGAGTTGGGGAGATATAGCATGGGGAGAAATGCCAGATATAGGTGAAGGGGAGGAAGGCAGCAAATCACACTGCCACGTGTCTACCTATGCAACTATCTTGCATGTTCTTCACATGTACCCCAAAACCTAAAATGCAATAAAAATAAAATAAAATATAGGTTTTAGTGCTGCCTCAGGATGTAAAGTATAACAAGGGGGTGGGGTGGGCAGTTTGGGCCTCTGAGGCTTATGTGTGCCTAGCTCCCCCCACAGCCAGCTCTGCAGTGGTCTGCTCCGGTGGATTTGGGTTCCAAATGGAAGGCTGCGTGTTCTCCTCTGCTTATTGTTTCCCCAGTTGCTGTGGCGATTGCCAGAGCAGCCTTAGCGCTGTGCAGAGCCCAGGTCTACCTCTCAGCCCTACTTAGGGTTGGTCCTGGTGGAGCTACGCAGGGTTGTGGCAGCACTGCCTCAAAATATGACAGCAGATTCTAATTCTTATGGGTTTCCATGGGAATTCGTGATATGGGCAGCTATTGTTGGATTTTTTGCTGTTCCCATTTTTTTGTGGAGAAGTTTGAGATCGGTTAGGAGTCGGCTTTATGTGAGAAGAGAGAAAAAGCTTGCCAGTGAGCTTTCTGAACTAATTGACAAAAAAGGTAAACTACTTGAAAACCTTACCCTCATTAAAAAAGAGCATGAAGGCTGTGAAGTAGAGACATCTTTAAAGGAGGCCAGCTTTGAGGAGGAGGCAGCAGAAGCACGAAGTTTGGAGGCAACATGTGAAAAGCTGAGCAGGTCCAATGATGAACTTAAGGATGAGATACTTGGTCTCAAAAAAGAGTTAAAGGAACAGAAATCAAAACGTTCTGAACAAAAGCAACTGATGGCGGATATTTTAAAAACGATACAGTCTCTAGAAGATGAGTCAAAATCCCTCAAATCACAAGTAGCTGAAGCCAAAATCATCTTCAAGATATCTCAAATGAATGAAGAACGACTGAAGATAGCAATAAAAGATGCCTTGAATGAAAATTCTCAACTTCAGGAAAGCCAGAAAGAGCTTTTGCAAGAAGTTGAAGTATGGAAAGAACAAGTGAGTGAACTTAATAAGCAGAAAATAACATTGGAAGACTCCAGAGTACACGCAGAGCAAGTTCTAAACGATAAAGACACTCACATCGAGACTCTGACTGAACGCTTGCTGAAGATGAAAGACTGGGCTGCTGTGCTTGGAGAAGACATAATGGAAGAGGAGAACTTGAAATTAGCAATGAACACCGAATCAGAAGATGGTGCTAACTTAGATCATCCTCCAAAAGGAGCTTTGAAGAAACTGATTCATAATGCTAAGTTAAACGCTTCTTTAAAAATCTTGGAAGGAGAAAGAAACCAAATTGATTTTCAGTTATCTGAAGTTGAAAAAACAAAGGAAGAGCTTACACAGTGTATTAAAAATCTTCAGACTCAACAAGCATCTTTGCAGTCAGAAAATACACATTTAGAAAGTAAGAATCAGAAGCTTCAACAGAAACTTAAAATAATGACTCAATTCTATCAAGAAAATGAAATGAGACTCTATAGGAAATTAACACTACAGGAGAACAGCCGGTTAAAGACAGAAGAGAAACTTTCTAAAGTGGACAAAAAGATTGTCCATGCCGCTGAGGAGCTGGAGACCTGTAGAAAGCGAGCCAAAGATCTTGAAGAAGAATTCAAGAGAACTACTCATTACTATCAGCGGTGGGCTACTGCCTATGAGAAAAAAGCACATCGTAATTGGTTGGCTGCTCAGACTGCTGAGGGAAACCTCAATGATTTAAGGAAAGAAAATGCTCACAGCAGACAAAAATTAACTGAAATAGAGTTTAAATTTAAACTCTTAGCAAAAGATCCTGATGCATTTGATGTTCCAAATAGGGCGTTTGGCAGAGAACATTCCCCGTATGGTCCCTCACCGATGGGTGGACCTTCATGTGAAATGAGAGCTTTTCTCTGTCCTCCAACTTTGTTGGAGGGTCCACTCAGACTCTCACCTTTGCTTCCCGTGGGGAAAGGAAGAGGCTCAAGAGGCCCAGGGAATCCTCTGCATCATCAGAGTACAAATGAAAGAGGAGAATCAACCTGTGGTAGGTTACCAGATCTTCACAGGGCTCCTTCTGACACTGGGTTCCTGTCACCTCGGTGGGAACAGGATCGTAGGATGATGTTTCCTCCACCAGGACACCAGGTCTACTGTGGTTGTAGACAAATGCGAAAGTAACTTTATGCTTAATTAAATAAATTGTAGTTTATTTTTAACATAAAAAAAGATTTATGAGCTTCCTTTCTTCCTCTTCCATCGTTCCCTGCCTCACCTTCGTAGATGATAGAGCTAGACCACCCTTCCATAGCTGAACACCCTCCTTACTCCCTCCCTGCAAAACTTGCACACAGGCAGACCTAGAATCCTCAAGACCACCAGAGTGGCTTTCTGGTACCACTCTTGCTAGACCAAAGAAAAGATGTGGAGGGAATTTTGCATCTCAATTCTTCATATCTTAGATAGTGCTAAATGATCCATATGTTTTCTTATAGTTGGATGTGCATGGATTTACACAAACACACGCACACACAGAACACCCTCTCCAACCACTTTTTGTGTACTTTTCACAACTGCCCAGCAGATGACAGCAAAGTGTCCTGAGGAACCACGTTTTCTATAATTCAGCTGTAGAGCTAGAAGCTAAATTGCCCCTCTAGGTATAGAACAGGCAATAGGAGGAAATGTTTTCTGTCCAGTTTCATCTGAGGCCCAAAGACAAGAGATGGCACAAAGACAAGAGTTGCACCCACGGCAGAGCAGCAGGAGGAGTCAGCCCCCGGCACAGGTAATTATTCAGGTAGAATTTCGATTCCTGCCCCCCAGCCCCCAGAGGAGTATTCTGTGCCCAATACTGTTTATGATTGCTTTCAAATGGATGATAAAAAGCAGATGGCAGTTTCTTATTGCGGTAAACTTTTCGACAGACCATGCTTCTCATTGCCTGCACCAGAAGAGACCACTCCCACCACCCCTGTTCTTATTTTGCCATGGAGATGGCAATCACTCCCAATTTACACAATGAAACCCCATTCACCCAAGTAGAAATTAAGAAAACAGAGCAAAAAATGGTTTTCTCAACCAGATTATAGAACTTTAAAGATTGAGTAAGAGCATAAGAGATTGAATAAGACTGAAGAAAGAGGATTTTGTTAGAAACAGAATGTCATTTGGAAACTACTGGAGAATTTCATTAGAAGGAAATTGTTGATGTTTTGTGTGATTTCCTCCCTCCTGTCACTATGGGAGAAGGAAGGAGGAACTTTCCCCTCATCTCCAGCTCAGAGAGAGAGGCTGGGATGGGACCACATGGGGATCATGACATAGATTTTCTGCAGTTTAGGGAAAATGAGAAATTTGAGTCCAACATACCAGTAGAAACCAAAAATCCCTAAGACCAGGGCTTTCTACTCTATGGCCAGCGTTTTAAATCTATTGATATATAACAAATCACCCAAACTCAGAGATTTAAAACAGCACACCTGTTATCTCACAGGTCGGGACTCTGGGCAGGACTTAACTGGGTTCTTTGCTTCAGGATCTCATCAGGTTTCAATTAACGTATTGACAGGGGTGAGGTCTCAACTGAGGTTTCACTAGAGAAGCATCCATTTTCAAGCTTACAATATTGTTGCCAGAATTCAGTTAGTTGTAGGATAAATAGCCGTGTTTCTTGCCAGGTGTTGGCTGGAGGGTAATGGCTACAGACTGCTCTCAATTCCCAAGGGCTGCCTGCACTGTCTTACCACAAGACTGCAACATGACATGTTGCTTTCTCAAGGCCAGCAATGGCGAGAAGGAGACACCAGTAAGACAGAGTTTACAGTGTTCTGTTACATGATCACGTAATCACATACCCCAAATAACATACATCCTGTCACCTTTACAGGATTCTGGTTATTCAAAGTAAGTCAAAGATCCTGCCTATATTCACAGGGAAATAACCACAAAAGGGCATGAAGACCAGGAAGCAGGAATCATCTAGCCACCCTAGAGGGGCTCTTATGGTGATACAGTTAAGCAAGAGATGTAGATTGTATTGGGGCGGTCTGCACTTCCACATGCAGGCTGTGTGAAAGAGAATCTACCTGGGTGGTTAGAGCTTGCTCTGAAAAGAAACCAGGAGGGAGCAAGGAGACCTTGAAGAGAATAAGGCTGGAGATTTTCTGATGGACATCCAGGGACAGGACAGAGGATGCATAGTCAGCTGCCAGCTAAGTCCATGAGGATACTGAGGGGAACCCCAACCCAGGAATCCCAGTGATGGAACCACAGGTGCCTTCAACAACCACCTGCCAGCATAGCACTGACATTGAGTTGGGAAAGTACCAATCGATAAAGACTTTTTCTGCCCCTCTCTCCTCATTTCTGCCCCTGACTCTGTGAGGATCAGAAATCCCTCTTAGCAATCCTCAGGGGGGACAGTTGGAGAAGAACTAGCGCTGGTTTCCGCTTTACATGTCAGGTGCCCTGTCTAAAGCAGGCCAAACTGAGGGAAAGAAGAAATTTTAACATGAATGACAGTTGTATTTTGATTTTTGCATAAAACTAGATTTTAACTACTAAAGTGACTGAAGAACTCTTCATTATTGGACAGCAAGACTCCATCTCAAAAAAAAAAAAATAAAAGAAAAAGAAAGAGGGAAAAAAAGAAAGAGGGAGGGAGGGAAAGAAAGAAAGAAAGAAAAGTTGTGGGAAAAGCATAAGGCTGTTCTGTTTTTTTAATTCTGAGTCCCTCTTATTCAAGTACAAGTCACAAACCAATTTGAAAATGCAAATACAACAAAACGTGCTCTATTATTCTGGTGTTCTCCGTAGTGTGGACACTTATGCTCTAGGAATTGAGCTATGAAATTCCTTAACACCATGTGGTACATCTTAAAGAATTGGGATTTTTTTTAAGTGCCCTATCTGAGAAAATATATTCTATCACCAAATACTGTAATTAAAGACTCATAACTGTAAAACAATTGTGATATTGTTTACTTACATTAAGTAACCCACTTTTTAACTTAATGCATTTAAAAATGAAATGTCATTATAACTTGTTTGTGCAGTATTGTTTATTACAATAAAAGGTAACCACAAATAAATGTAATTTAAATTTAAAAATTATTACATTTAAATTTTAGAATATATTTTAAATCTAAATTCAAATTTTAAAATATATAAATAAGTATGCAATAAACAATTTCCATATTTAATGGTGTGATTATAATAAATTTTACTGCACACCTAATGACAAAAATTAATGTGGTCATATATTTGTGACTGCCCAAGGTGTTCACTTTGCCCACTGCCTAGACATAGCTAATTCTTTAAGACGGGGGAAATGCAATAGAGAAAGAGTAATTTACGCAAGGCCAGCTGTGTGGGAGATCAGAGTTTTATTGTTACACAAATCAGTCTCCCCAGTATTCAGGGAGCAGAGTTTACTTGGATAAACTCTGTAGGATAACTTGGTGAGTGAGGGGAAGCCGGCCAGCCAGGAGTGCCAATTGATAAGGGATGAAATCATAGGGAGTTGAATTTAAGCTGTGTTTTGTTTTGTTGAGACGGAGTTTTGCTTCTGTTGCCCAGGATGGAGTGCAGTGGCGCAATCTTGGCTTGCTGCAACCTCCGCCTCCCAGGTTCAAGCGATTCTCCTGCCTCAGCCTCCCAAGTTGCTGGGATTAGAGGTGCGCCATCAAGTCTAGCTAATATTTGTATTTTTAGTAGAGGCAGGATTTCACTATGTTGGCCAGGCTGGTCTCAAATTCCTGACCTCAGGCTAAGGTGATCTACCCACCTTAGGCTCCCAAAGTGCTGGGATTACAGGCATGAGCCACTGCACCTGCCCTGAAGCTGATTTTTGAGCTGAGTCAGTTCTTAGGTGGGGGCCACAAAATCAGATCAGCCAGTTTATTGATATGGGTGGTGCCAGTTAATCCATCAAGTGTAGGGTCTGCAAGATATCTCAAGCACTGGTCTTTGGACCAGTTTAGGGAGGGTCAGAATCTTGTAGCCTTTAGCTGTGTTACTCCTAAATCATAATTTCTAATCTTGTGTCTAATGTTAGTCCTACAAAGGCAATGTAGTCCCCAGGTAAGAAGGAGGTCTGCTTTGGGAAAGGGCTGTTACCATTTTTTTAAAACTATAAACTATAAACTAAATTTCTCCCAAAGTTTGTTCAGCCCACTTCTAAGAATGAAGAAGGACAGCTTGGAGGTTAGAAGCAAAATGGAGTTGGTTAAGTTAGATCTCCTTCACTGTCTCAGTCATAATTTTGCAAAGTCAGGTTTATACTTGGTTCAGTGATGAAAAGATTTTGTCTGAACACCATTTAAAGATGATGGCATTTTATATCAATAAGATAAATTTGTAAAATTTTAACCAACATTAATAATCTAAATACCCTGACTTAATCATTACACATTCTATACATGTAACAAAATATTATATCTACCTCATAAATATGTACAAATATCATGTATCAATTAAGAATCTCAGATCCCATGTGTACTGGGTCAGAAGGTTTGTAAAATCTGAATCCCATTTTCTGACAAGATTTTACACTGTGTCAAAGAACAAATTAAAGACCACTAGAGCTTATAAATAAACTATAAATAGAAAAGCTGAGTTTACAGGTTTATATATGTGCCAAGTAAAGAAAGAACCCTGTGGGGAAATTCATTAAGTATTCACCAACTGGGGGAAAGTCAGGGTTTTTTTCAGACTGAATAGAAAGAGGTTCATAATAGTCATGCAAATTGAAGACTGAAAACTGAAGTCTTCAGTCTTTGGGCTGAGAAAGTGAGTTGTTTAGAATAAGTCCTGTTGTTTATAATCACTTACCAGTTTGGGGGGATTGAATCAGCTGCAGTGAGAAAAAACATTCAGTTTTGATTTGTTTCCTAAAAATATTTTTCTTTTATACTAAAAGAATTAGTTGCTAACCAAAATGACAGAAAAAAAACTTGATCAATAAATTTTGTTTTCTAAATGCCACTAAAATCTTAGATGATATAGGAGTGTGTATACATGTAAACATGAAAAATAAAATGTTTCCAAATGTGTTTTAGTAATAGCAACAAAAAGATGGTAAAATAGTTTCATTCTCTTTCAGTGTTACCATTTGGTTTAAGAAAATAGGAAGAAATTTGTTCAAGTCCTAAAGATACCATTTCGTAGTTTTAAAAATATTTTCAGACAAATCTCTGAGTCACTTCATAACTGGGTTATTTGAAATATGCAAGGAATCCTGTTCACTAAGATAAGTGCACACACCACAGTAGACATGATTCTGCAAATTCAATGTCAATAGCTGATACAGTTAGGCTTTGTGTCCCTACCCAAATCTCATCTTGAATTGTAATCCCCGGGTGTTTATGGAGAGACCTGGTGGGAGGTGATTAGATTATAGGGACAGTTTTCCCTATGCTGTTCTTGTGATCATAAGTGAGTTCTCATAAGATCTGATGGTTTTATAAGTGGTAGTTTTTCCTGTGCTCTCACCACTGTCTCCTGCCACCATGTGAAGAAGGCCCTTGCTTCCCCTTTGCTTCCCACCATGATTGTAAGCTTCCTGAGGCCTCCCAAGCCATGTGGAACTGTGAATCCCTTAAACCTTTCCTTTGTAAATTACACAGGCTCAGGTATTTCTTTAAAGCAGTGTGAAAATAGACTAAAGTCAACATAATTTGTCTTTTTATTATCTGATCTCCCCATTTTTCTTATAAAAGAATGATTACTTTATTCAGAAGTGGGACTCTGAATAAAGAAGTTAAGAGATGCTATTTCCCAGTCTTCCTTGCCTATGGAAATGGCAGTGTGACATAGTTCTCGCCAATGAGACCTAAGAAGAATTTTGCTGGAAATTTGTGGGAATAGGCTAATTTCTTATTTAGGCACAGCCCTTCCTCCTCCTCCTACTGCTGTCCTCCTGCCACCCTCCTTCTTTTCCTTCTTGTTCTTCTTATTCTTTCAACAGAAAAGGCAAATAGAAAGCTGACAATGGATTATCCAACTTGCTGCCATACAGCTCCTATGGAGATGAAAGCTCACATTATAGAGAGCTGATCACAAAACCCTGAGACTCTGAAAATACTGATGATGCTGAAAAGGCCTTTGTAAAATGATAGCTGAGAACATTACTACAGTGAAGGAGATCTAACTCAACTAACTTCAC